TTTTGGGCCATTGACCTTTCTGTCTTGTGTGTCCGATTCAAATTCGAATTTTCCGTGCGATAAATCGGAATTGAGGGTCTCTGAGGACAAGGCGCAGAAGTGCAATCTTGACAAAATCAAGATATTCATGAACTTGATTTGAACTAATTTGAAATAATATGCTGTGAAAAATTCACAGCTGAAATCCAACTTTAAAGCATCAAAAATCGAGTTTAAACTTCCTTTCCGCCTTAAGCTCCACGTAATTTTGAAACTTTAAACATGTATTTCTTGAAATAGTAAAAACTGCACTTATCCGCCTTGTCCGCCAAGCCCCTCGAATCTATTCCAAGCGGATATTTCTCCCGATACTTTTTTTCGCGATAGCATGAGTAACTGTCAGAGCCCAGTTGAGCTTTTTTGATTTAAGGGCCTTCGAAGGGCTTTAATTCACATTTCCTGACACGGGGAAAGGTTCTCTAAGCTCTGTAACGCTGCAACAGAAAGTAATCGCAATGCCTTCGAAAGGAAATGTATGTTTTTTGCGAGTTTGCACGATGTATGCTCGCCTCGTAGATTAATGTTTTTTTCCGTCATGACCTCATCGATGTTGCCAACTTAGCGGAAATTTTACTCACATCTCCAGAAAAGCAATGTGAATTTCGACGGTGATTACTTTTCCCCAGCCCTTGCTAATCGGATGAAATTAATACATGCTAGGGGGCGGACCCCCTAGCCGCTACGCGGTTCAACCCCCGAGGCGCTGAGCGCTCCCAAAGGCCCGCGGGCCTTTGAAGGCCTCTTCGCGGCCAGCGAAATCATCGAAATCGCCCGTTGGCGGTTAGGGATCAAATAATTGTACACTGGGAAAAAATAACACACTGGATCTAATGTCCAGACTCTTGGAAACATTGACAAGAAAGGAGACTCTTGGTTCAATCAGATTTAAGCTTAAATCAAAAGTCTTGGTTCTTGATTTAAGCTTAAATCTGATTGAATCAAGAGTATTTTTTCTTGTCGATGTTTTTAAGAGTCTGGACTCTCCAATGTGTTTTTTTCCCAGTCCAATTGAATAACAAAACGATGTTTCAAATAAAAATTCCCCGTCAAACAATATTCTTAATGGCTTTCTCCTTTTTCTGATTTTTGATTCCTTCTTTCGAATTCGACCTTTAGACCGTTTTACTTTCCTTCCTTACCCCGTTCATCGAGCGTCTTAAAAGTGATTTTATTAAAATAGAGAGGATGTGTCAATGGCTAAAGTCGCAAAATGCGCATTTCAGATTGCGACGTTGTGTTACAAGTTCTCGGCCATGTTTTATGTTTTAAAAAGAAAGTGATGGACGGTTTTATTGAATTTTTTTGCGAACATTCTTCATTCACAACAAAAAAAATATTCACTATAGTAAGGAAATATTTTCGTTCGATTTTCTTGAGGAAAGTAAAACATGATCGGGAGTTTTTAACGATGCAAGTGAGATACGTACTTTTTGTATTCAGCCATCGAAGTAGGTCATAACCAATTTCACACATCGGTGATTCACGACGTCTTATCAAAATACCTATCTTCCTCTCAGGCAAAACATACACTTTTTTACTTTCCATTTTCAATTAATGTTTTACTTTCGTATCCGTTTATCTTATCATTAAGCTAGATTCGCATTTCTTCCATTACCTGTCATTCGAAATACCTCCTGAACTGAACAATATCTACGAATTTTTTTTTTGCTTTAAAATGATGCAACTCCTTACGATTCGTGGCCAATGGAGGTATCATAAATTACAATAAACGGGCGGTGGTCAGAGAAACCTGCTGGTGAAAGTTTTTTCCCCCCATTCTTTTAATTTTTTTTTTTTTTAATTTTTTTTTTTTCTTTTATTTTACGACGTACATATTCTATGTAAAATTTTACGCGGAAAAACTGCCATCAACACAAAGAAAGTTAGGTTTGTGATTTGAATTTTAATTCATGTAGAAAATGAAATCGTTTGATCTCGGGCAATTTGGAGAACCTAATTTGCATGTTTGATTGCCTAATGCAAACTTCAATTATTCTATTTCAGCTATTTCAGTCAGTCATTATCAATCCTTTTTACCCCTACATTGCTTGTAGAGACTGTAAAGAAGATCGTAGAGACTTTATAAAAAGTTATGTACAGTCAACTTGGTCATACCTTGATATTAAGAAAATTTTTTACCCTCCTTGGCACAAGCCGGAACGTGGCAATGACAATTCTCAAAAACATGAGAGAAAGCATTTGATAAAAGCTCATTGTCTGCAATGTTCGCAAAAAATCACCATTCAAAAAACTGAAGGAATTGACTTTAAAAGAATTAACACGGCAACATCGTGAAATAAAGGCGGTACGTCACCCGCATTTTCTCGAAGGATCCATTTGTGCGCCCGCGCTATGATTTCAAAATATGTTTAGATCACTTGAACTGCAATGGTATCACTAGGTTTTTTTTTTGAAAATTACTCTTTTTGGACATCGCGTCACGTCCTTCACAGGCTCCGTTTCAACGATATTTAATCCGATTATCTATCGCTAAAATTCCAAAGGAGAGGAAACGTTTCACTAAAGTAACGGAACAGGCATCTTTGTTTACACTGAATAACCAATTTTTCTACTGCTTCTACTTCAATTCAGAGGCAAGAAACTAAATAAACAAATTTTAGAGGATTCTTTAACGAGCCAAAATTCTGATTTTAAACTTGGTAAATTATTAAGATGTCGATAAAATGTGAATGATTTTTATGTTCTAAAAACTAACATCGCCTTTTAATAACTGAACTAATATTGGCGTACTTTTTGAAGGATGGAAGTATTAGGGAAAATGTCAAGAAATTGTAGGTGAACGACTTAAAATATATCGCAGACACATGTTTATCTGAGGATACTCGTCTTTTACCGCGACTTAAATCTTAACACTGCCTAAAAAAACTACGCTGTTGAAGTCTTGAAGTATTTAATAATATCCAACTCCAAAAAACAGTGCCTGGTACAACCTTACCGCGACAGGTGCGATTTGCACTCGAAAACTGCACCACGCACTCTCCCGAGAATAACACCACTGATCGAAAGTGATTTCAGGCTGCGATCCATTTCGGATGAGGCATTGGATTTTGTCACTTAAGTCACAAGAAGCCTAACTACACAGAAAGATGAGTCCTGTTATCCTCATGATTTCATGATTTCTAGAGCTCAAGTAGGCAGGAAGGTATTCTTTTATCGAGAAGTTGCTACGGATCGAAAAAGTAGGTGCGACCCCGGAACTCCTAGATTCGATGATGGTTTGCACTTCCATTAGGCGATAAAGATGAGGCAACGCGCAATTTTACAATGCTGTCATCTCTCCTCATTTCTCAAATTTGGAAAGATTCTGGAGTTCAGTGTGACATATTTCCTCGAATTATTTGAATATCTGAATGGAAACTTAACATGAATGTTATAGAAGACTTTACGAGTAGAAAAATTACCGAAAATCCCGGTAAATTGAATGATTCGATGATGCTTAACACGTCGATCTGGCGATTAAGATGAGGCAATAGGTAATTTTACAATGCTGTCATTTCTCTTCATTTCTCAAATTTGGAAAGATTCCGGAGTTCAATGAGACTTATTTCCTCGAATTATTTGAACGTCTGAATGAAAACCTAACATGAGTGTTATAAAAGACTTTCCGAGTAGGAAAATTACCGAAACTCCCGCTAAATCGAAGGAGATACATAACATTTTTCAATTTGTAAAATATATTTGGAGTCTGAAAACTGTATTAAGCCTTGAGACTTATGAAGCACTTAAATTCTGATGTATTGGAGCTAACAATTGAGTTTTTTGTCCGAAGTTTTTGTGATGATACGTGAAGCAAGATCTTTCGAAAAGCACGAATGTATCTATTTTTCCATCAATGTCACTTACCATTCGGAATCAAACCGTAGCGCCATAGCACTACGGTTTGACTCCGAAACCGCGTATCTCCTTGCCGTTATCAAAGAATGTCCACTCTTACTTTACGTAATAGCATGGCAACTACAGAACTTTCTAACGTAAATGTAGAAATATTATTCATAAAACAGGGAAGATATAATTAGAAAAATTTTACGAAAGTATAGATTTCCCGGATAAATAAGAAATGAAAACAAGAAGTTTTTTTATTTTGCGAAGCCATATACGCGATTTTTACATTTAGTCATCTGTCATTTTTGACCCATCTTTTTATTTTCCTTAAGGAAACTAAACAACACTGTGCTTTAAAATTTTGTGAAAGTATCATTAGGAGCACCAAAAGCTTTATGGCATTGTGCTGTTTAGTTATCTTCAAAATGAAGAAATAAAAAAAATCTGAAAGTAATTATACAACATGCAACGCGCTCTCATACAGATTCTAGTCGAATTCATGAAACTAATATTTTCTTTCCCATGCCACGCTTAAACAGTCCTTGCAAAGTACGGGTTCATAACTACACGGAGAAAAATCCATGGCTTTATAAACCAATTAGTGGTATATATGGAATGCCACTAAAAGTTGTTAATGAACCAATGATTCTCGGGCTGTGAACCATACTAAGATACCTCATACTACAGTAAGGTATATATACCATCACTAACTTCACTAACACTTTTACATTCTCTTTGTTTTCCACTCTACCGTCACTAAGGTATTTGTGCTGTAATTTTAAGTTGCCTTTACTACTATCAATGGTGTTCCATACGAACCAAGAGTACTACCAACATTGTTCTTGTTTTGACATGTACAGCCGTGTACTACGTTTTTAGATTTTTACAATTTTTTTTACTGTTTTATCCAACCGAGGAAGGCTGAGTTTTCAGCCAAAAAGTTTTGGTTGTTTGTACATGAAAATTTGCCTTGTCACCCGCTGTGTAATTTGTTTAATCATTGTCCATATGAACCACTAATTGGTTTACAAGCCATAGCTTTTTCTCAGTGAGTCTAAAATATGTTCAAACTAGATTCGAGGCGAATTCCGTGAAAACACCCAAGATGATCTACTCACCATTAAGTTACGGATTTGGCTGACTAGTTCGTTGTTCGGCTTGAAGATCTTGCCAAAGAACGTCCCGAGTTTGCCTTCCAACTTGCCGAAGTTCTACTCCCCTCGCCACGAAACAACACCGAACACCACTCACTCGCTCACTTGGTAAACAAACTCGCGCCTGCCGAGCGGAGAGAAGCAACAAGCTACACCCCCGATCCGGGCTCGCGTGTCAGGGGCTCGGCCAACATATGCTCGCTAACTACCCGACTTCTTTATCGCTCGCGAATCGCGACTCGATCCCGGGAATGGAGCTTTCTCTCCGAGAAAAACCAGCGTTTAATGCGCGAATCGGCCGCCAGGAAGCGCGCGTGCTGCGTTCATGCTCGCCGAGTGACAACTGGGGGGATGTCGTTCCTTAAGGACTGCGCTAATCGAATCGCTCCTGCTCCCGGGAGAGGGTTGCGGGGGGGAGGCGAGTCGCGCAAACTCGCCGGGAAAGCGCGTTGCCGGCTTTCCCGCGCGGGAAATTTTCTTCCGGGCGAACGCGGGAAACTCTGCTCGGGATGGGGGACTCGCGATCGCTCAGACAACAGATCAGTAGGGCAAGGTGTTTTTTCGACTCTGGGCAAAGCATGCGCCTGATTTTAAAGTACACTTTTAAGGCATGATTTTAAAACGTTAACGAGGAAGGGATGTCTGCGGGTTATTTTTCTATTTTTACATACAGTACATTTTTATACAACTAGTATACACATCAAGTTTTCAAAGCATAGGTCGTAGGCAAATAGTAAAATCAGGCATTTTGTCAAATGCCTAAGCTGATAGTCAAATTATGACTGTCTACAAAATTTTGTGAATTTATGGCGAAGAGCTCACGTTTTTTCAATATTTTTGGAAAAGTAACTCATCAAACCTACGAACTTTTTTTTGTCTCTTCCTCTTTAACGGCTTCTCATATTTTTAGATATTGAAATTCCATAAATTCTGTATTTTACGACATGCTGAAAATGTCAAGATCAGTGTCCCTCCAGGAGCTAAATATTGTTTAAAATACTATTGTGTGTGCACATTTTTACTGAGAATTTTTTCTTGCAGGAGCAATGAATTATTTTGTCTGAAATTAGGAAAAGAATCAGCATTTTAATGTAAGTCAGAATATTTGACTATTTGCCCAGGCATTTGACAAAATGTTTGATTTTACTATCTGCCTACGACATATCGATGGTGAAACTGCAGACATGCGTTTCTCGATTTGCGGCCACTCTTACGTAATTCCAAA